GTTGTTTTTTAGAAAAGACATCAAATATTGTTTTGAAGCTAAATTATTGTGCCAAACTGTAGTTGATGGAGATTGTTCAATTAACCGTTTCAGTCTCGGCGACTCCTTAAGGAGCCATCAATACTTTTCTTTTCAATATTAATGTACGGAGTTAAACTGATTTGACAGTTCAATAGACGTAAGCAATACCTTCAAATTGATAAGTAATATTACTATTTTTTACATTCACAAATCCCCACAATCTCTTTTTCTGTGATATAGTGACATTCAACATTGGGATTTTCCTTTAGTACTATTCTGTGTATATTGGATTTTTCAATTTTTCGAAAAAAAAGCCCGGACTAAAAGGGTTAAAGTTCTTCTAGCTCGAAGAATCTAAACCGATTTATGTATGATGTATCAAGAATGCGTCATCTACCATTAAATTCATATATCCATTGTATTTATTTAGTCAGCTGTGTCCAACAAAATATGATTGATCGAAATAGTTGCTGATCGTTGTGTTGAGTTCTGTAATCGACATGATAAACTTTTAATAAAAGATTATTTGAAAAATGCTAATAAGAAATGTCTTCAAAAAAAAATTGATTACCGGTTATTAAGTATGACTACTAGATCAAATATTTGCTGGAACAAAAACTTTATTAACTTTTTTCTGATGTGCTTGTATCTACCAAAATCACTACTTTTGAAATACTCTATGTGTATAAACATACAAGAAATAATGGATGACTGTCTATTTTTTAACTCTGACAAGTGTCTTCGTATTGTTCTATTATGAAAAAGAAAGGATGTTTCATAGATTTGAGGGATAAGGATTAGCAAAGAAAATACACCTGTGTCTATAACATAGTTACAATATGGTAGCTATGGTACCAATCATTGCATAGGATGAGAAAAAACGGATACGTACGCATTAGGAATCAAAAATTAATCAAGAAGTAATATTTCTGAACGAAGAACACGGAATCTCTATATATCATGAAACGATCATATATGCCAATATACAAAGATTTGTGATCAATTATGTGCGTTCTTGTCCTACCTTTGATATCTTTAGAAGTGATGATAGTTCTTATGAAACTGATGCCCATTTCAAAAAAAAAAGGCGGGTGAATATTTTTTTTTGAATAGCTTTTGAACAGATTGAGCTAGACAACTGTGGTTTACACCATTGGAAAGAGAAGATAAAGGCGCATCGAACCATATATGAAAACATTCTTCTAACTACGTTCCTAATGGTTTTATATAAAACTTCTAGAAAAACAGCATGCCTCTTATAGTCGTGATCTTAATTTATGGGTTATCAAGAGTGTATTAGAATCAACAGATGAAGAGCTACAAAACTATATAAAAATTCTATTCCTAACCATTACCAGTAAAATATTCTTACCATTGTAGTGCAATTTACTACCCAGTTTTTTCAACAAGATAATCAAAAAAATGTAAGTTTTTATAGGTTTTCGATGAAAAATCAATTTTTTAACGTATGAGAGAAAAAAACAATTTTTTGAAAACGTTTGACTAAACCTGTTAGGAAAGTATTCTGAAAAATATTTTCATATATGGTTCGACACATCTTCATCTCCTCTTTCCAATGGTAAAAACCACAGAGCTCTCTAGCTCAATCTGTTTAAAAGTTATTCGAAAAATATCCACCCGCCTTTTTTTTTAAAATGGGTATTAGTGCATGGTACGACCCATTATTCATTGCTATCTACACGAGAATGTGATATAATAACTATCAAGAGTTGAAGAATGAGTTCGAACATAAGATCATGATTAACAAAAAGCACATGACTGGAATAATGTACTAGAAGTTTTATTTGCAATCGATATAGCTCATATCTAAAAAATTGTCAAAATGTGTATTGATTTTCATGTTATCTGAATAAATCTATATATAAAATAGCTATCAAAAATATTCCACTAGTAGATACGATTATTGCATTTTTTGTATGTCTCAAAAATAAGATGTGCTAGAATGATTTAGCTGTTGTCAGATAACATCTCATAGTCTCTCGTACGTTGGTAAAAGACTTCAGATCATTCCATTAATATGTTTGCTTTTTACTTACGATACAATCATAGCATATGATTTTTGTTATCCTTCAAAAATTATTCAAACGCCTTTTTATGCAAACTATTGTGCATCTGTTTTAAGTTGACGTTTTCTTTATGGTAAATGATTCAATAGAATAGATTGTATTTTACACAATGAATAAAATTCTAGTAGATTTTTTTTTTGAGACCGGCCTCAACAACAATGTTTTTTTTAACCCACAACGGAACTTGTCAAGAACAAGGTAACACAAAAAATTCTTTTCTCATATAATGTTTTAATTAATTAACTGCTAAAAATAGCATCACAAAGAGCATTACAAGTTGCATGAGATTTTCTGTCTGGATAGATGATTATTAGAATATTGTGCTAATGCTCTCCAATGTGTCGACGAGTCATAGATAAGTCTTCTTTTACAGTGTCATCCACGCCTTGAAGGCGGTATAATAAATTATTTTAACAGCGTGGTTTTGTAAGAGCGTCACGTCCATGTAGATAGAAGATGAAATCTAGAACAATGTGTTATTTTAAGTTTCACTCAATACACCTTTGTTCGATGAAATAAATATCAATCTGCCACCAGGACTACGACGAGCTTTTTTTACTTCTTTTATTGATGACGTAGCATATGTATATAACTTAACTGATAGAAACATTTTTTTTTCAAATAGAAGATTTTTGTACAAAAAAAATTTCCCTAGAAATCCACGTTTTTAAAACAATATATACCTTCTTTAATGCGTGAATGATACAGTACAAGAAGATTTATCTGTGTTTGGTCTGTAAACTAGAGAGAACCAACACAATTTTCTAATGAATATTTATCCAGGCTGAATAACTTATACAACTTGTAATGCTCTTGCTGATGCTATATTTAGCAATAAATTAATTAAACACCATATGAAAAAAAAAAATCTTTTGTGTTCCCTTGTTGTTAAAAGGTTCCGCTATCGGTAAAAAAAAATTGCTTCTGACCTCGTTCTCATAATAAAATTATTATAAAATGTATTCATTGCATAAAGCACCATTCCTTCTATTAAATCACTTACTATAAAGAGCATTTCAACTTAAAACAAACCTGCAGAAACTTGCATAAAAATATGGATGAATAATTTTTGAAGGTTAAAAAATCACATGTTACAATCGTATCGTAAATAAAAAGTAAACAGATTAATGGATTGATCTGGAATTTTTTTTTGACGAGTATAGAAGAAACTAGAAGTTACAATCTAACGAAAGCTAAATCATTCTGGCACATCTTATTTTTGAGATGCACACAAAATAAAATATTGTGTCTATCATCTGAATGATTTTGACCTATCACTCTATGTAACATGCGTTTTTTTTTCAAACATGAACAAGACACTAAATAATATGAATGATGAATAATTAGAACATTTTTGCAATTTCAAGTTTTTTATTTTTAATACTCAAATTTTGAGCGTAAAAAAATCTCTAAAATCAATTTATTACTCTTGACGATCGTATATCATTGATAGAAATTCAAAATTCATTTGAATACAAAATAATTTTACTTACAGTACTAAAATTTAGATACAAAATTGTAACGATCAAATGCATTTGAGAAAATTTCTTTTGAAAAATCAATAAAGTTGCACATATCAACTGAACTCACTTAGACTGAAGTAGCACATATAAAATCGGTTATTCTGTATAAATATAAAAGTCAAGTTTTATATTTAAGAAAAAATCCTAACTTTCGGTGTGGTCAAACGTTAAAAATTTTATTTCTGATCTACTATCAGCAAAAATTTTTATTGATTACCTTTTAGCTTGTCTTGTGGTATTCAGAAAATATTAGCCGTTATAGAGTTTAAAAAACGGATGTTTTTAGCAGAGCTGAGAGTTTCGTACTTTACTACGAAATGAAGCGATATACAAATGAACTTTCTACATACAAGGCAGACTCAGCATTGTTACAATAGTGAACAAACCTTTTTGTCCTAGAGAATCTCAACCATTATAAATCTTCGAGACTTGGAAATTTTGGTGCACATATTTGGTTAAGAGTTTAGGTCAGAGACATTATTCTACTTCGATGATTCGAGTGAAAAAGAATTATGATGAATGACATCTGTTGTGGCACTACTTTGTAATAAATAGATTTATTAATTCTTGATGTTGTTGAGTGGAACTAAAGTTTAGTCTATGATTGTTCTTTATCAAAAGGACAAGTGCATTGGCTTGAGTATCGGTGTCTCTGAATCTTTCGCCTTATCAATACAATGGTCATAGCTATGCCATGTCCCATCGATACATTGTATGTTTACGAAACTTGTATGCACTAATGTCCAACTGTAGAAATAGCTTATTAAAGAGTTTGAACTTCACTCACAAAAATACTACTCCGTTCTCGTCTTAAGAAGACATCAGATAATATTTTTCACATAAAGAGTCACATCCTCTTGAGCAACAATGCCAAACAGGATCAATGAACTTCAAAGAAATTAGTTGTATGAATACTTGCAATAGAACGCTAAACTCTTAAGTATTTATAATAACTAAGACTTTTGTTCACTACTGTATATGGCAAGTCATTTCTTGTATTCATCTAGTGTTTTATTCAATGCAAATTTACATTTCAATGCATTTGTATGCATATTTCCATCCTGTTAGTCTAGGATCAAATGAATCGAATCTCGATGAACATTAGTTATTGACTAAATTCTTCAAAATAGAAAATAATTCTATCAACTAGACCAAGAAGAAAAAAAAAAGAATCGAAACAAGAATATTGACTTATATGGTTAAATATAATTTTAATGTTTTCTTTTAAATACAATCAATAAATATTTTTTTTAAAAAAATGAAATAAAATAATTATTGTTGATTAATAAAAAATAAACATTTTTGTTTTGTTAACAGACTGATATGCATTTTATTTAATCATTCTTCATTTTATTTTCTGTTTTTTTTATTAATGATTAAGAAATGAAAGAAGACCTTGTTGTTTCAAATTTTCAATCACAGCTAAAGAATCAGGAATAATAGTTAGAGCTGCATTAATCAAATTTTTCATTAAACTTTCTGCTAATTTTTGAAACATTTTACTCATAGCTATAATACTTGTTTCAATATTTTGACTATATTGATTAAGAGCATGTACCCATGTATCACCTTGAATTGTAACTGCATATGTTTCTAATTCATGTATTATTTCAATACCCCATTGATTAATTTTCTTTTGAATTTCATCAAGTCGCCCATAGAATGCTCGAATTTTATCTTCTATATTTTTTTCACCTCTTTGTAAAGCTACTAAAGCTTCTTGTTCCATTTGAAATAAACCTTCATATAAATTATGAAGATTTGATTTAAGACGAGATGTTAATTCAGCATATTTGCTTGAAAGGATATTTTCTGGTAAAACTGAACGACGACCAAGAGCACTAACAATATTTCCAAACTTATCATCAAGATATAATTGTGTACCTGAAGGAAAAAAAAGAAAAAACCAACGTTTTATTATTATTATTTTTTTAATGACATTATTAAAAAAAAAGTTTACCTTCAATCAACATATCATAAGCTGGACTAAAGGTATTGTCCCATAGAAAAGTAGCAGCAAACTGAATTCCATTGACTGTATTGACTAATTGCCCATAAATATTACCAGCACTGTCCACTACATTACCAATAACATTATTAACTTGATTTGTAGCACCATTCCATAAATTTGTTGCTGTTTGAGATATTTGATTGGTAACTGATTGAATTGTGTTACCAACATTATTAATTAAATTACCAATGGTTCCAAGTAAACCATGTGCTGTACCGACAAGAAGGAGTAGAAGAATGAGGGAACGCATCGCTGTAAAATTTGAAAATGTAACACAACGTGTAAATGTTAAGCATTTTTCTATTGATAATAAATGACAGGGATTCTAACTGTGACTTATGAGAATATATAACAGATGGATATTTGGTAATGGTCCGATTTTCACCTTATACTAATCTTAAGAATATAATAGAATATTTGATCAATAATACATATTGTCTATGTTAAGGGAACATTTTCAGGTGATGTACTTTGAAAGTTAGTTGATAAAGATAAGAACAATCTGTTTATGAAAAATTGCAAACGTGGGCTGAACTTGGATGACGTGAGTCTTTAGTTCGATGTTAAGATGCGGGACTAGAAAATTTTGAAGCAATATTATTTGGATTAACATTCATAAGGCTTTATGTGCCTTTCTTTTTCTTCCTACTATTGCCATTCTTAGTTTTAATACTAATATATTTTATTACAATTATAATCATTGATAAACTTATGTTTTAAATTCAATATGAAAAATATGACAATTTAAAAAAAAAAATTTTCATTTGATTAAGAAATTTAACATTTATTTGTTTGCTTAATCTTAGTATCTAGATTTAATACGACCGAAGATGATAATATTATACGTAAAAGGTCTTGTATGTATATGTATATATGCAGGTTTTATTTATTTGCGTAATTCTATTAGTTATTTGATACTGTTGATATAAATGTCCTTCTAAATGATACATGAGTTATCTTGAACCATGACGACAAGAACTTAGTAAATGATGATTGAAGGACAATAGTTAATAATTATCTGTCTTCTAAACTCTTGTATATTTGTATTTGTATATATCTAATCAATCAACTCTTGAATTGCATCATGGAATAACAAGGACTTCTTGTTCTTCTTTTTGTTCTCTCTCTCTCTCTCTCTCTCTCTCTCTCTCTTAAATAACAAATATTATCAGTAAGAAAGATTGAGACAGTATCATTTTATTGAGATACATGGCTTTCGTAAAATATCTATTTTATATTCTTCTTCTATATGGAACAATTTCATTGACATTAACAATTAAACGTCGTCCATTAGTATTTGTTTTATGTTTAAAAGGTTTTCGATGGGATTTACCATATTCATATTCATATTTACCACATTTTCGTCGTCTTGCAACAATAGGTTCAAGAGCATTATGGGTTGAATCAGAATTTGGTGGTAGTCAAACAAATATTCTTAGTCTTATGTCAGGTCTTCATGTTGAACATCATGGACGACGTGATTTTTTTGAAACAATACCTGTTATTAATGAACATGTTGGTGGTCATACACGTCTATTTCATTGGCCATGGTTTGATCGTCAACGAAATCATTCAACTTATGAATATTTACGTTCAGGACGTAAAGGACAACCTGAAATAATTGAAACATATTTAAATCATGGTCGAATGTCTTTACAACGTCTTATAAGATATTTAACATCAATGATAAATAGTTTAATTGATGATAATGATCGAACAAATCTTATAATGAGTTTTATTGATGAACCATTTACAACATTAATACGTCATGGTATACATTCTGATAGTATACGTCGAACAATGCTTAATATTGATCGTCTTATTGGACGTTTATTATCTGTAACAATAAAACAAAATATTAATTTAATTATTCTTGGTGATCATGGTATTGAAAATATTGACTGTCGTCAAGCACTTAATTTATATAATATTATCAGTCAACGTCAATTAAATCTTTATACAGATCAATATAGTGGCACTAGTTTTAGTTTTGTAGTTTATCCAAAATCAGGTTATTTAAAAAAACAAAGTTTTTTTTTCCTATTTTAATAATTAACATTCCCCGCTCTCCTTTCAATTTTAAGATAAATCTATAATCGAATACTTTGAAGTGTGTATGATACGATTTTTTAGATTTCTTTTTGTCCTACAAAAGTGGATTTTTTTCTTGAAAAGTCCATTTTTCATAAAGGAATCAGCTTTTCAGAATAGAAGATAACCATCTAGCGTACGTTATTCATATCATATGATAATTAATAAATGAGTTATTCTTAAGCAGTGCTTTGAAATGTTTCATGTTTTAAAAATAACATAAATTGTTTCTAAGAGATAATTGCTACCAAAAAAAAAATGGCAAAAATCAAAGCAGTTGATCAAAATATAGTCAAAGCTACCATGGGCAACACATACAAAATACTTCCTAATACCATTTGATCAAGTTGTATAGATACTATTAACCAATATATTATATGCCTGTGTTATGAATGATGGGCACCCTAAGACTTGAGCAGGCTCTAGTCCATCTTATCAATTAATATAAAAATTTTCTATTAGTGATCAGTTTTCATTTTTTTTTTTTTTTTATCTGGCAGACGATAGCTTCTTACAAAGTCAGTACAAATATCATCTATTAACAATCGTGCTCAATAAACATAGACGGCAAAATCACCACGCCTATGTAGACCAAAATTTAATCTAGCTAAATATTTGAAACATATCCGCTTCGCTATTAAACATTTTTCTAGTAAAGTAAATCATAATCTCTTCGTGTGAAGATTACATTTCGATGAATATGAAGGTTCACATGTTTTTTCAAATAAACGTTTTTTTAATGCAAGTTGTGAATTTTTTTTTCTAATCTGCACCAATGTGTTATACTTTGCAAAATTATGAGGGAAATTGAACAGTTTTTTTTTTCGTATACGTAACTGAGTATTCCTATGATGTGCACAAAATTTTAGCTCAATATCATGAAGATCGTATTGGGAAGGGAGCGAGGAACTTAAGAGAATGTCAACATGCTAATGTTTTATTTTTATTTTTAAGATTTTACTCGACAAGTTTTATTGAATCAATTTAAAAAAGTTCCTAATGAACAAATACAAATTTATTCAAATGATGAAAATAATTTATTACCAAAACTTCGATTACCAACAATCATCACTAAACCATCACCAATTATTATATTTGCTAAAGAAAATTTTTATTTTTCATATGATACAGAACAAAATCAAACGAATTGTCATAGAAATAATAAAAATTGTCAACAATCAAGTAATGTATTATTCATAATTATAAAAAATAATCAATGTATTTTCTTTATTTATTTTTTCTTCTTTTTATAGTTATAGCAGATCATAGCGATGATCCTCATCATACATCAATGCGTACAGCATTCTTTGCTTATGGACCATTATTTAAAAAAGGTCATATAAATGAACCTGTACTTATTACAGATGTATATGCATTATTAAGACAAGTTCTTTGTCTTTCACCATTTCCTACTTCAAGAGGAGATTTATTTCATATACATAATATGCTTGATTTAACATCACTTTCAAATACATGTGCTCATTTATATTTATCAAGTCTTAATATGATTAAATCTGTTTCAATACAACCGAATAATCAAAACAATACAATTAATAATGATTTAAAATTAGTACAGATTAATATTACAGAAAAATATCAAATACCATATCATCATCCTAATCATCTCATACAAATGCGTATTACTATCGATTAAAACGAACATTACTGTAATCCTTTGATCTCAAATAAATGCAGGTTGAAATATTGATTGTTTTTTTTTAGTATTGATGTTCTTTGTTTTTTGCTTCTTTGTATTTTTTTTATGCAATAAAAGATATTTATTATATATAATAGCTATGATCATATAGAAGTTGAGATTCAATAAAATTAGCTCTATTTCAAAAAGGCAATAACTATTAGCAAATAGAAGTAACAGCTGATTGTATGCGTTTATAACACATTTGTCAATAGCGATTTAATAAATTATTTTTATTTGAATAATTATAAAAGAAATGATCATTGATGTACAGACTAAATTTTTACTAGTGACAGCGCTAAGCATGATGACTCTCGGTTGAGATGGCCAGAAAATCAGACATACTCTCTTCATAGATGCGGGGATATGATTTTTTGTCAAAGAAATCTCGATATCATATGAAGAATACCTAAGAATTACTGAGAAGTTGACAAAAACAAAGAACATTATGTTAATATCAATACAGAAATAGATGATAGCAGTTAATAACTTCCATGGAATACAAATATCAGAAACAATATTTCTGGACATAGTTATAAGAGTGCTTTAATACTTTTGTTACACAGAGTATTTCATAAAATCCAGTTCCATGATCTGTCAGTAATATTATACTATGATATTATGTACAGTATCGTCTACCCAAGGTTCATGTATGATGGTAAAATAATAAAAATTCGTTTCAAAAAAAACAATGGACTACACAAACTATTTGTTAACCTGAATTTGAGATCAATGGAATATAATAGTTACATTTTCTTTTTCTTTTTTACATTTTCACATGATGCAATACATAAGATTATCCTAGTCGATGTGTATAATTTAATAAAGGATGGATAGAGAAATTTTATTGTTGTTGTTAGCTCATGACAAAATCGATCTATTACATATAATGATCGAGTGAGTAACTTCAATAACCTTGGAATTTCATACGAGCTATGTTTGTTCAAATAATTATACTCAGTTTTTTATTTTCGTATTGTATAACTATAAAAAATATATCATATGATATATGTGAAAAAAGAAATTTATGTCCAGTATGTAAAAAAAATTTTTTTTTTTTGTTCAAAAAGAAATAAATTCAACTATAATTATTATTAGAATAAAATAGAATCATGTCATCCTGTTGTTATGAAATGTCATAATGATTCTTGTCGTTATTTACGTTTTACTTCAAGTAATCATTTATAAACAAATATATATATATATGCTTTGAATATTATTATTATATTAAATTGATAGATGATGATGAACATTTGATTTTTTCACGTTGGTTTTATGATTCGAATCATCAACGTTGTCGTCGATATAATAATCGTGTAGAAAATTTTGTTTATTTTCAATTTTTACGCGATTGTAGACGCTTATGTCCAATTAGACAACAGAAACAAATTGAAAAAATCAGTAAATATTTCTTTTTTTTACATAAAACAAAGTTTTTTTTTCTTATTTTTTAAAGTTACTCTTCATATATCTGATAATGTTTATTATTATAATGATACTGTTTATGTTCATCTATATATTGATCTTTCTCCAAAATGGATTCAAAAACTTGCTGATTCAATGAATATTAGTACGATTGTTTACATGGCACAACAAAATTATTTTCAAAGTAAAGAATATATATATATATTTTTTTTAACTAAATGAAATTTTTTTTATGATTTTATTTTTCTTAAAGATTATCGACGTCGTTTTACAAATTTTGTCGATCGAACGTATCAGTTCATGCTTGATCAGCAAGAAAATATTGCAAAGAAAAATTATTAACTATAATTAATTTTCTCTTTGAACTTTTATATTAATTTTAATGCTGTTGTTTTCAATGTTAAATACTCTCCTCGTAATAGAAGATTGAGCTTAATTAATTAATCTATCACTAAATGAGAACTCTAATTAGTATATTCACATTAAAAAATGATTACGTTTGAAACTAAGACTTCTTAAAAGACTACAGTTAACATACTTCCTAAATCCTAATTTTTACAAAAAATAAAAGATTTCGCCCGAAAGATTCACATATCTAGCTATAAAAAAGAAAACGACATTTTGTCGTCTATTGCAGAGGGGAGTTAAGTAGTACTTTTTTTGCTTATGTTCATTTTACATATAAAATAAATAGAAGAAATTATATCATGGAAATGGTTTTCTTTTTTTTGCAATATGTGAAGAAACGAAATGTTTATAATTATGTATTTGTTAAATATATACATTCAAATGCAATTAATATTACTACGTACTTATAACGAAGTGAGGCGTTTTTTTATTTGTCAATGACAAATATTCTTTCTATATTGATTTCTATTAATGATATATAATTTAATTTTGAAAAATACAATTTATGAGATTCTAAATGAAATTAGTAAATTAGGATAAATTTCATCAATTGTAAATGTATTGAATACCAAATTGATATGAACCTTGATCAATCAATATATAACTCAATAGACCTTTCCATCAGTCGTCAGTAATATTGACTGATGTCATAGTAAATAGATAAATGAGAATAAACTTGACGAAATGTAAAAGATTGGAAGAAAAGAATTACCTTCAAACAAAGTAGTTTATGTCTATCATTTATTATCTACACATTGAGATAAACAAAAGAATGATTAAAATGTTCTAGTTTTGTAAATCATCAAGTATTCATGTCTCAACGAATAAGAGAATATTCTCAATGGATATTACATCTTCCTTCTGTAATTATAACCATTTTACTGACACGTCGACCTTTTTTGCAAAATATTGATGAAAAACTTAAATGAAGGAATTCTAATCGGAACTTTTGTTCATTGATAGAATGCCATCGCCGCTAGAATATTCTCAAATTTTCAGTCAAAACAGATATTTCCTACTAGAGATATTGACAACTGAAAATACGATTGTATTTCCATTTTAGATGCAAATGACAGTATTCGAATGGCGATGATGATCCTATTGATGAACAAAAATTTCAGATCAAAATGTCTACATTTTGAATCCTTTTAGACTTCTTCTAGTCTCATAGTGCTCTGATTGTAGAAAAAATATGAATTCTAACAGATGGTATTAGTTTGAAAATGTTTTCTCGAATGTCTTATTAATAATTTGAACAAATACTTCAATGATCATATAACCCGATGTTTTGAAATAGGAGAAAATACATTATTTCTTTGTATTTTTAAAAAATTTTTCATTCACTATAACTTAATTAAAACATAGTGTTGCTCATAAAGACTTATTTTAATACAACACATATCAAATAAACGATGGTAGATTCAGAAAAAAAATATTAAACAAGTTTAACAACGAATGTTGGATTTCTTATTATTGTCTTGATGTCAACTCGATATATTTTTTCGAAATCTGTATTGTTAAACATTATTTTACAGCTTCAAGTTATTTCTTAAAAAAAAAAAATACTACAAAAACTTTCTATTTATTATAATTGTTGGTTATGATGATTGACTAATGATTCTACTCACTAGAATTTCTTCTTTTTTTTTCTCACATTTCAATGGTAATTATAATTGAGATTTTAGTTTATGTTGTGACATTCCAAAAACTAAAATTAATAGTAGAATTAAACTAACTGAAAAAGTAAATCGATCACTGTTATAATGTTAGTCGTATTTATTTGTTTGAAATATCTTCTACTTATTACCGCAAATTAATATTTAGAATAATATAAATACGATACTAAATGAAAGTGTATAAACACTTCTTCAATCATCATAAAAAGTATATTATAGATAGTTCTCTTTTTTTTTTAGTTCTATGGCATATCTTCGTTAGCTCTATATATTTATAATACAATATTTAAACCAATTGATATTCAACTCATTCTTAATAATATTATTAAAATCGATTCTCGAATGAATTGCATTTGTATTTATTATTTTATTAATTCAATGTGTCTCATCGCTACTTACGCTGTTAGGAATCAGCAACGTGTTTTTTTTACAGAGAATGTGGTGGATAATGACGGCGAATATTATAGTGACTATATTAAGCTTTAAAATAAAACATTAAGTAAGGAACTATTGTTCATTGGATTTTTTATATACAAATATAATATTAAAATAAACTGCTCATTTTACGAAAATATTCATCTTTTATTTCGTTTGATTCTATTGAAAATTATAAGTTATAGCTGTAGAGATTATCTTCAATAATAAGAACTTTGCTAATACATAAAATAAATGAATGATATTATTCACATGTTTCTTTTGATTTAAGTATCTTGAATCTTTCAAATTTCAACGCATTTATTAAAATGCTTGTTGAGACTAGTTGTAGATCAAGAGTTCTAGAGAGTAGATAACAGTTTCTAAACGACATCTTTTGAAATAGTGCGCTTCTGAACATATGGTTTTAATAAAAAAAGCCTATAGAGTCATGAACATAAACAATTTTTATTAAATCGAAGCAGCGAACCGTAAAACCTAAATAGCCAGACGATAATTAGTTTAAAAAAAGCTTATCAATAAGAAAAACAACTTTTATATCTTAAGCTTTATGGATATACAATATAGCTACTCAAGCAGACAAGCACTTTCAAAAACGCATTTAAGCGCATTAATCATGATTCCTGTTTGAGCGTTTTCACGCTCATTTACAAGACATCCAAAGTTGCGTAAAAACACTTTAAACTTTTTCAATGAGCATGGAAACGCTTAAATGGAAACCGTGCTTGGTGCATTTAAACGTTATTTTAGAAATTCTTGTCTGCTTGAATAATCCATTTCTAGTCACGTTTTCTGACTAGATAGTTCTTTGAACGTGCTTTTATTTAGAAACTCAACTATTTTTCGATATGTTTTAATCTAAGAAGAGATGTCAATCAATATTAAACAAATCAAGCATAACAATTAAAAACCAATTTTACATTTCATCAGTATATGTTAACAGTTTCTAGTGTAATGCTTAGTGAAAAGATAATCCTTTATTTTAAGTATTTGAAACTTTTGTACATTTTTTAAAGTTATTTTCAATTAATGGCAGTAATGATTGATATCTTAAGTGCATCAGTCATTGTTACTCACCGATGAGTTTTACTAACTATTGAAATCGCATTTATTAATCGAGTGTACTATTAAAGAACTTCTTTATTACATTTATTCATGAAAGGGTGACGATCTCTCTATCATCATGTTACTAGGTTCACCGAGAGCAAGATCTCTTAATTTTTCTTGTTGTTTACAAGATCAATTACAGCCAACAAGTTTGAGTGAAGCTATTTATGGTGTACACGGAACACCAATATCGATTTGGGTAGCTTATCGACGCTAGTAAGATCAAGCTTTAGCAAGTATTTCGTAGGACAAGAGCAAACAAATGCATAGCATCAGTTTCATTTTACTAAATATGAAAACTTGAATGTATATAATATTACTTATGGATTTGATATAACTAAATACAGCCATAATTAGAGTTTGTCTCTATTTTTTATCATAACTACCGATATTATTACTTGTCGCCATGAGATTTTGTACAACTAGCAGCTTTCCATAATGCGATTCCATTAATATTACAATAGGAGGAAGCAATCAGCTTGTAAAAAACTGTTATTTTTCAATATCACCCCTAAGATTTTATCATATTGAAATAGTTTTACCAACCTTTTTTTTATTAGATGTCATACAATATTTGAAAAAAGAAAAATAAAGATTTTTCTATATGAATGATAGAAAAAAGAATAACGTTGTTGTTTTGATCATTCTAATAAAGATATATCAGTGTTTGCTTCGAAAATTTTTCATTCGTTGAAGATTATATTTTGTTTATAGAATGCTTGTATGAGAAAGAAATATTAAACATTTCAAAAAATAAAAATCGAGATAAATCGGAAATAGCTTGTGATTTGAATTCAAGTATTACTATAAATCTTCACGGAATAATACAAGCATGTGAAAACAATTCAATTAATTGAACTATTATGAACTTAAAGTGCTCGTCTTTTATATAGTTGTTGATACAACTCGAAGAAAAGAATAAAAATTCTCTAAACAATACGATATTATATTATCAAATTTCAAACAGGAAATCCTTTTATCATGATTTTGTTGATTTCGAGATGAAATTATAGAATACAATTGCTAAATCAATATTTATATAAAATGAAATAATATCTGAGTTAAATACTGAAATAATAAGTTTGAATATATTATTCTTGCCAGATCAACAACATCATTTCCGAAAATAAGTTATATAGCTCTTGATTTTCATCATTTCTTTGAATTTTTTACATGCATTTTTCACAAAGCAAAAATTACTATAAAATGAATATTAATAATAAACCTTCATATGCTTTATCATTCCTTTTCTATTTTGATAGATTTTTCAAATCAGAAGATCTTCGTAGAATCAGTCAGAAATGAAAATAATTAATCATCATTTTATATATAGCGTATCGTTAGTCATTCAAATGAAACCTTTTACAATATGCGTATATTTCTTGTGAAGTGTTTAATTTATTTGTATTCTAAAAAAAAAGCACTTTTATATATTTTACGACAATACTTCAAGGCACAAAACTGGGAACGGTTTTATTTAAAAGTAAATTGCTTTTATCTGACTATATTTTGACATCAATATAAAATCTGATGATCTCATATATCAATGTGTAAATTTAATCAAGAACTTTAGGACTGTACTTGTAACGACATATATCGTTAATACTAAGTGAAACGACTTCCCAGGTCGAAGATTCCGGTCATCGGATCCTGCAGGAAAGATGCGCAAAAATTCATCGTATCCTGCAGGAAAACACCGGAACAGGATGGCAGTATTCTGACCGGAAAATTTTCTGATTTTTTCCGGTGACCTCCGGACAACTTCCTGCAGGAAACGAGAGGAATTTGACCGGAAGTCACCGGAAAAAATCCGAAAATTTCCCGGTCGGAATACTGCTACCCTGTTCCGGCGACTTCCGGTGTTTTCCTGCCGGAACTCGCTCGTACTTCTCGACCTGGATTACAATTTTTCTTTGCCTTTTACCTAGATTCACTAAAGGATATTACCATAAAAAAAATTCAGAACCTGTAATAACTACATATCTTTGTAACGCGTGCAAAATTAAAAGTTTTTTTTTTTCTTAATATTTAAAGTAAACACCTTGAGGCACATTTTTTTGTATGTTTATCTAAGAAAACATGTTTATGATGAACATGAACTTTTTATACGTACTCTTAGTCTTCTTAACAATACATTTACATTTAATAGAGAACAAAACAAGATCTTTTAAATTTATTGTAGACGATATCTTTAAATAAACAAATCGTATTTATTAATTTTTTTTCTTAAATAAATAATCTTTAGCAACGTGTATTATCAGTCATTTTAATGATGACGATTATGATAGGATAAAATAGCATGTAATACATCGAGGTAATAATCATGTCATAAAAATTATTAATATCAAGTTCTTCGACTAACTTGAGTATAACGGGTTAAGATTTATGATTTATAAGAGCAATTAACAAAAAAACAGAAAGATATAAAAATGTCTAATAAGTCATATAAACAATATCGAACTAATAAAACTCTTTCAATTACCGAAAGAAAAAAAATCTCATACGTATGTTTCATTTATCATTTTCAAATTGATGTATTAGTACTTAATAAAATTTAATCATCTTGCAATTTAGCAATATAATTCTTGTATCTTCTTTTTTTTTTGCAATAGATTATTAATAACTAATCAATTATGAACTACATATAAGTATTTATATTTGTTTAGCTTTTTTTTTTGTTTAAATGCGCAAAAAAGAACGATAGGAGTGTTTGAACGGCATGAACTAAAGAGTAGAAGCAAAATAAGCTGATGCGCGTAAGAGTAAAGACAAACATGAGATTTAACAAAGAAAAGTAATAGTTTTAAGGAAGAAGGCTGAGATAATATGTACTAGCCAACGACGACAAATAATAAGAGAAGAAAATGTATCTATACAATGTTTTATAACAATAAATAAAAAGAAGATAACGAACAGAAAAAAAAAGTGAGTTTCCTTTTGTACAGACAATGATTTGCTTTTTTCGATGTTAATTAGAACAATAAAACTGAAAATACACAAATGGAATGAAAGAAAGGCACACACACACACACACATACACAAAGAAACACAACAAGAAATATGTTCAAGATACACATACATATATATATATATGAGGGAACGTATTCGTATATGGGTACTACTACTGTTCAAATGGACATAGCGTGTGCATTTGGGAGATCAGGAAATCCATACGACGACAACGAAAAAAAAAAATAAAAATAAAAAATGCAAAGAAAGAATCATTATATGAAATCATTTTGTCTTTACAGAGCTTCAACATAAGTAGCCGGATAAAGGCCTATTCGATTTCCAACACGTCCTTTACACCAACCTTGATCATCTTCATCTTCTAATTTTGTAAATATATCACCTATAAAAAAAAAAACGAAAGATACATATAATAATATAAACAAAATAAAATATAAATTAACCTTGTTTAAATGATAGTTCATCTTCTTCTTGTGCTTCATAATCATAAAGAGCTCGTACAGGTACACCGGCACTACTATCAAGTGATGAACCACCTGTTGATGTTGGTGATTGATGTGAAGGTTGATGAGATGATGATAATGAATCACCATTATTCATATCATCATCTTCATAAAATGGATTAGCTGGTGGTGGATATGATGATTGATATGATGAAATACTATTTGTTTGATATGTTGGTAACGATGAATGACTACCATTACTTGTTCCTGTTCCATAACTAAAAAATTATAAAAATTTGTAAACTATATAAATACTTTATCCAAAAAATTGAATTTAAGAAGCATAAAACAATATACATGCATATCTTGACAACAATTACCATATAGAAATAAATTGGTTTTTCAGATATCTTTCAGTGCAAATATTAAAAAAAAAGTGTAAAAGCTTAGCTTAGAATTGATTGGATGAACATATTCCCAATACTGTTTAATAAAACATGAATTGCATTTGTTAGTGATAAATGAGATTAAGAGAGGAAAAAAAACTAAGTAGAAATATATATTTCTCTATCAAGAAATACAGAGCAAGTAAATATAGCATAGTTTTTGTTTTGTTTTGCGTATATTCTCTCTACCGATTATTTCTTTATCATGATTGTCGATTTTTTTCATAATTATTCTTATCGAAGAGAGTTTTTTGTTTTGTTTTGTTGTACGATTAAAAATTCAAAAACAGGATATACAAATATATGTATACAATATATAATTAATGAATGAATATTTACTAGACAATAGACGAAATAAGCAAAATGAAAATCATAGTGACGAACAAAACAATTTGAATATAAATTATTAATGATGATGATGATGAAAAACCTACTCATTTGTCCAAGAATTAGTTAACCAACTCGGTGATACATCAGCTGGAGCTGAAACCGGTTGATGATAACTACCCAAATAGGGTGAAGCCGATGCTGAATCAGTCTCTTCATTGAATGCAGCATTACTGATAGATAATAAGAAAATAAATGATTAAAAAATTTCGATAAGACAGTCATACTCAATATTGTTTTTCTTTTTCTTATAGAATTATACTAGAAAAAAAAATAAAAGATTTTCTTACTTCGTTGATAATCGACTATCAGTAGGTGCAACACCTGATGATGTATTAGTATTTGATCGAATAGCTGTAACAACTACTGGATTTTCTTTTTCAATATCACCTTTAGCACGACGAGAAAGTGTACGTTGTGCTTCCGTATATTCCTAAAATAATCCAATATACATATATATATATATATATATATTTGTTCACGATTATAAATTAAAAACAAAAAGAAAATTCTATATATAAATATATGATTTTTAACGTCAATATTAGTTAGCAAAATACCGAAAGAGAAAAACAAAACCTATATAGCAATATAAGATAAATAAATAATAAATATATTATATAAATCTATCGATACCCAAAGTAGAAAACCAAAAACAAAAAATAAAATCAATATTGTCAGTAAATGTGCAGCAAAAAAAGAAAACAAAATACGCAAAGAAACCAATATAAGTTTTATAATCTATTAGTGGGAGCCTAATTGTAAATATATAATAATCATCTACTTCACGCTTGATAAGATCTCGACGAACGCGTGTAACAACAGCAGCTGTTCGTCGCATCGATCGACGAATAGTTGCATAAGAATCGACAACCAATACTCGTGTATCATATGCAACAGCAGCACTTGTTTGACTAACGAAATGTGCTAATTGTCGGCGATTATATGTATCATAACCCATTAATAAATCATTAGAACAATAAGAAAAACGATTTTGTTGTTGATGATGAACTAGATTTGATGATTCCTAAGGAGTAGTAGTAGTAGTAGTAACGGGTGAAATATCGAAAAGTAGAAGCAAGATTAACAAATTTTTTAAAAATCAGAGAATATAGAAATAAATGAAATTTAAGAAAGAAGCATTATTGAGAGATCGAGAGGGGAAACAAGAAGAATCAATAAACTTAAAATACCTCAAATGTAGGCCAATTCATTTTCATACCGGCACCATATATATCCGACCACCATGATAGATCTTTATCAGCATCACAATTTTTAATTGTTTGACTGAATTGTTGAAAATTTGGTGATCTATAGAAAGAGAAAAAAAAACAAAAGTTTCAAAAATAATAAATTCATTTATATTCAAAACAAATTAATTTTTTCAATAATAATATCAAATCATTAGAGAAAAAAAAAACAATTATGATCTCTTGAGAAATATTTAAACTTACTGTAATCGATGGCTTAGATCAAGACATTTTTCAGTTGTTCCTAAAAATTCTCGAAATTTAACAAGACGATCTCGTTCAAATATTTGACACCGGGAGAAAACCTTGAAAAATTTAATTAAATATCAATAAATAAAAACTAATATTTAATAACATACATCGTTCATATCATCCATATATTTTGGATTAGCTCGATTAAGTTCTTGTAAAGCTTCATTATATTTACTTTTAGCAGTTTCTTTTTCTTTACGACATCTTTCAAGTTTTTCTACAACTTTAGCACGCTAAAAAAAATAATTTTTATATAATTGAAACCAAATAAAATAAAAACCAACAACATAAAAAATATCGGAAATAAAAATTTAATTTACTTGATCTAATGGTACAGATCCATCAAGTTTAGAATTATTTTCTTGTGTTTCAGCCATTTTAAGATTTTTTGTTGCTGTATGATAATCACGTTTATATTTATCAACTTTAACATATAATTTAGCCCATGGTTTTTGTGCCTGAAAACATAAATAAAAATGTTTTATTTTTTAATTAGAAAAAAAAAAACAAAAAACCAAACTCGTTTAAATTCTTCATCAAAATCTTTTGTTGGTTTAATATGCATCATTGATTTAACATATTTAGTTTTTTGCCATGATTTTATTCCTGGTATTATTTCATTTTGTAATTCATCATGTACTGTTTGATGAACTTCAGCTGATGCATCAGCTTCACCCATTATTGCTTTCCAAGCTGATGTCATTGAACCAAATTCTGATGCTTAAAAAAAAAAAGAAAGATTAATTTCTTAAGTATAATAAAACATTTTTCTGTTTTTTTTTGCTTCATACATTTTGCAACATAATCCGACCATTTTTTTGACCAACTTTTAAGCATTTTTGAAAATGTTTTTTCAAGTTCAGCTCGTTCACCAATCATACTAATAAGATCAGATGTTAATTTATTACCATCATCACACCGTTTTACAACACGATTATATTTACCAATCTATTCAAAAAAAAAATAGAAAACAATAAATCCCTATTTGTCTTTTATGTTAAATACATACTTCCCAAAATGAATCAGTTTGTGGTAAATAAAGATCATTGTCCGTATTAGTTTTATCAATACTTCCTGTATCCATGATGGATTTATATATGGATAAAAGAATGAAAAAAAAAAATAACGCAACAATCTAAAATACATAAAAGTTTATCACTAATTTACAGACATAAGAAAAAAAAACACAATGATCTATATTAGTGCTATTAAAGATATCAAATATCTATACATTAGTTTCTTGAATAAACGCTATTGAGAGAGAAAAAAAAATCAACAATGAAATAAAATTAAAAAAAGAAGTTAAATCATCATTTAATCCGTTAGCAAATATTGATACATGGAACGTCACTATCACGTTCACAACAACATATAAACACTTTTATCATCGTGACGTATAACCGAAGACAAGAAGAGAAAAAGAATAGCTGTGAGACATACGCAGCATCATTGCTAGCACTACATATGCCGTTCATTCAATTACGAAGAACGAACGGACGTAGTGACGATCTCTTTGCTCTTATTTTTGACGAAGAACGAGAGAAAAATAATAATGCGTGAGAACTTTTGTTATGCTCGCAAAACAGACATTAGGAAAAGAAGGCCAAAAAAAAAAAAAGAAGCAAAGAAGAAAGGTTCTTTTTTTTTCTGAAGTCATGTTATTTTATTAACACTACTTGTCGACTCGATTCGACTTAAATGAACCGTAATACTTATTTTTGTATATCTTTCTTTTTACCCCATATTTTCGATCAAGCTTCTCTTATCTAAAATCTTTTCTTTTTTTCCTGTTCTTCTTTTCTTTTTTCCGGTTCCATATTTTCGGTAAGAAAAAAAAAACAACAAGAAGAAAAAAAAACAGAAGAACTTACAATTTATTTGCGGCTCTTCGGCTGGATAAAGTAGATCATAGACAAAAATATGACAACAACAGCCATGCTGACAACTACTAAGTCCTTGATAGTAAAAATAGAGATGAATGAACTTATAGCAAAGAAAACAAAAACGAATAAAAATGAATGTCATTCAAATAAGACAAAAAGACCAAAATAAAAAAATGAATGCATATTACATGGTCTAATGATAGTAGACATTGATTGTATCGAATTTACTCGTTAACTCTATCAATCAATAAAATATAATATTAAAGATAGGTGATCATGAATTTCTCATCTATTCTCAGGTTTCTTTTTTTTCATATTTCACTTTTCCTCCGTTTTTGACATTACATCAAATATATTTAATATGTTTTTTTTTTTTTTTTTATTTTCCTAAACGAGAAATTGCCTATACTATATTTATATTCTATTTCCGTCTTATGTGAAGAAGCATAGGAAAAAAAAAAAAACAAGAAAATTTTCATAATTGATCATGGCAAAAGCAAAAAAATAATCTCCGCCAGCAAATCGAAGGAAAAATAGTACCTATACATGGTTATGATTGTTTTTTTTCTGTTTGTCTTCTTCTGTTCAATCGATTCAGGTCAATCAATATATTATCAATAACTACTACTACTAGGTCGCCGACGCCGCCGCCACCACCCTCTCAATAACAACGTAATGTTAGAGCTCATATGCGTGCATACACGAAAAGAAAGAATGAATTGAAGTATGTGCAAACGAATAAGTGCTTGAAGTTCATCTCTATTGCTAGTGTGTACGAGAAAAAAAAAGAGAGACAGAAAAGAATGAACAGTCACTCTTGTTTGGTATGTAAGGTACACTATGACTATATGCATATGTTGTTAAACGTTTACGAAAAAAAAAAGCAAGTGATCTTGAACTCGTATATGCATATAACGAAATGAATGTTGGATTTCTCTCTCTTTCGCTCGCTATATGTATGTGTCTTATATTGATGAAAGAGTTACTATTCAATCTTTTACACATGCTCAAACAAATGAAAACCTCATATGTTAAATACACATGGGATTTCAAAGAGAATAGCATGCAATTCATTAACTCATTCTACCATATCTTCTTTTCTTTTTTGTTGTGTTGTATTTATTTATTCAAGTAAAAAAGAATAAAAGAATATATATATATATATATCCAGAAAACATTTTTTCTTATCTAATAGATTTCTGAAAATTAACTATCGTATTGAAAAAAACAAAAAAAAAAAACAAGAATTACTTGAATGCAATCATACATTCAGAAAAAGACGGAAAGTATTAAATAGGCAAGAAAATTTTATATGACTAAGTGTAATAAGAAGATGAACAGAAGGAGAAATAGAGAGAGAGAGACAGACAGACAGAGGAAATACGAAGGTGATTGATAAATATTGATTGGTAAAATGATTTATTTTAGAATCAAATTCATTAATTAATTACCTCAAATAATTTAAAATCAAAAAGTTTTCTTTTCAACATTTATTATTATATCATAAAATAAATCAAGAGATGTCGCCTATTTACTTAAATCATTGTTTTCCATATGGTTTTTAAAGCTAACAAATCGAAATGTTTATCTACTATTTAGATATATTATTAAACCTGATCTTTTAATTTGCTTTTAGAACGTTATTGTCAAGAATGGCATCATTAATAAGTCGTGGCTTAGCTCAATTGAGAAGTAAGGAAATGCGTGATTATTTAATGAGGTAAAAAATAAAAAATGCATATGAATAGAGAAAAAAAAAATTTTTTTTCTATTATGAATTTTTAGCACGGTAAGAAGAAAATGAAAAAAAAACATTAATAATTGAAATGAATTGATTTATCTTTTTTTTTTTAAATCTATTAATATAATTAGCATTTCTGGGGACCAGGTAAATCATATTTGAAATAATTATAAACAATTGAAAATATGTTTTTTGTTGTTGTTGTTAATTTCTAGTTGCTAATTGGGGTTTACCATTAGCAGCTATAGCTGATTTAAAGAAAGATCCAGAAATAATTAGTCCAAAAATGACCGTTGGTAAATAATTAATTCAATATATTATTGTTAATATAATTATTTTATTGTATTTTTTTTTTTTAGCATTATGTTTTTATTCAATGTTATTTATGCGTTTTGCTCTTCAAGTTAAACCTAAAAATCGACTTTTATTTGCTTGTCATTTTGCTAATGAATGTGCTCAATTAGTACAATTAGCAAGATTTATTAATTACAAGTATAGATGAAGATTTTTCTAAGAGATTTTTCATTTTATTTTAATTTTTAAAAGATATGGTACACCATCACCAATGAAACAATATGAAATACCATCGACTGTTGTCAAACCAGTGACAAATAAAACTAACAATTGAATATATTCATTCAACATCAATGAATAGAAACTATTTAAGTACTCTCAGAGTGATATTTATTTTTCACCTATGTTTTCTTTTAATATTATTTGCATTTGACGTTCAAGTACTCTTTTGTTTTGTTATTATAATCGTGTAATGTTATGTATCTAATCCTATAACATATATTCGATTACTTTTCATATACCGCAGGAATATATGAAAGAAATTGTATGATGAACTTGAAATATGTACGAACAAAGAGAATTTTTCGTAGCTTTTTGTTAGTAAACCTTCAATAAAATGAATACCCAACAAAAAAAAAACATTTCTTTTATACAAGCGATATTTCATACTGCCTTCGTAATAACTATGTAATATAGACATGGCAATGTTCAATGAAAAAAAAAATGAAAAAAGAACTTTATAACAATTAGATCTGTACTATTAATTTATAATTGACAAAGAATAATATTTTAGTGAATGATGTGACTTTGAATATTAAGTTTATCGATTATATTGAAACAATGTTGCAATTGAGTACTGATTTAGATTAGTTTTGGTTCTTATATCGTGAATATCTACTGACGTAGAGAATTGATAGAAACATTATTGAAAAAAAAAATTCAATCATCTAATTCACAACTAATTTAGTCTTTGTTGTACAAAAACTTTATAAACTATGCATGACTAAAACAAATATATATTATTTTGTTTTATTGCTCTATTACTGAAAAAGCATGACCTACAAAATTGATAAGGTTAGAAAAATAAAATTGTCCTTCGAAATCTTTTCTACTTGCACGCAAACATATATCTCCAGAGACATATTGTGTGATAGTTATGGACGAGAATATCTCATAGCCAATTAAATGCATTACACAAGATTCTTGATAGTTAGGTAGATAATAGATGTCGAACTCTTGAATAAATCCTGGAGCGACTATTGGGAGGTAAATAAAGAAAATAATACATTGCATGCTTATTTATTTTTTTTTCGTAAATCTTATCACATTAAAAAGTCAAACAAAAACTTTATCGTTGATTAAATATCTTCATTGATTATATTATTATTTCATAATTAAAGAAATATTTTGAAAAGAAAATTGTATCTAAAGTTGCTTATATGTGTTGTTATGATGTTTTTCTTTTTTTTTTTTTTTCATCTTTTATTTTATTATATTAGTCAAATAAACCTCAAAACTATCATTTTAGAACACAAAAGTATGAATTTTCAAGTTCTTTTTTTTTGTTTCTTCAAGGATTTACTGAATTAATCAAAGTATTGTGCATAAAGTATGATATATCTGTTTTTTCTATCCATACTATTAACTTACGGATGAGACTAATACGTTATTTTATTAGCAGTTTTTTTTTGTAATTGTCATCGGGAGATAAACGACTAAAAGTCCTTTGTGAATTAGAAGCAGTATGTGTATAAGTTTTCAAGCAATTCGATAACTTTTGTTTGTAGTCAAAATGCATTTATTCTATGTCTTTTATTTTTAACAAAAATTCAGATAAATATAAGAAGTACACGAATGGAGTTTATCAGAACCAAAAAAATGCTTGTATGTATTAATTCTTTGCACTATTCAAGTGTTTAAAAAGCTTGAATGGTCATTATTTATTTGAACCATTTTATTCAAACATTTCCATAGGTTCATTTTCAAATTTCTTCCAACACGAAAAAAAAATTTAATTGTCAAAAATAGATAAGATTTTTCGCAGTTGAACTGTTTGTTACTTTAGCATGTAAAGTAAATATTCATCAATAATGGAAGAAGATGAGTACAAAAACACATAGGCTGATGATATGTAAAACATTGTAATCTATAATAAAATTCGATGAATATAAGGATGTTCATTTATCTTAATGATTCATTCAAAACACACAATGTAATATTGAAAATATGAGAATGGACAGCAAAAACAAATTAGAATTATTGTCGCTGGAAACCGTAACAATGATAAATGGGATATCAATATACTTGTAATTATAATCACATAGATCAACTCATTGTGGCCAATAAAAAAAGAAAATTGAGTATTTGTGCATAGTTCAATAGTAACATTCCAGTTAAAATTTGTAAACCTTATTTGAAGGTGTATTACATAATAAAATTTCTTTCGATAGTTTGTGTAATAACCATGATATCAGAGGGTAAACATAATATACCAACAGAAAGTTTTGATTTATTAAATTTTCATGTAGTCGTGAATTTTTTATGAAGAAAAATAAAGGAAGTCACGTTAAAATTTTACTGTATATGCGCATTGTTCATTTGCAATGGTAACCATTGATGTATCATTGATATAATCGTTCTTTTCTATGCGCTGGCTATTGTATTTGACAATAAAACAGTTTTATCTTCGTAAGTGTATCTTATTCATCTGTCGTTCGTTCTTGTCTCTTAAGATAAGTTTGTTTTTTTTTTTATCACTACGCTTTTTCTTTTTAATAATCAATCAACCGTATCAATCCGATGATCGTAATAAGAGTGAAAGTATTAATCAATCATATAGAAGTAAAAAAAAAATCATGCGTGAAACTAATCGAGAATCAATGGTTATTTAAGTTTTTACTGCAATATCTATAAGATAAAAATTTCATACATAATTAAACTATTTTTTAACATGAATAACAAAGTTTTAGCAAAATGTTTTCCTCATAGATTGTTATAAATAGACATGTATTTGTTGTAGTTTATGGAAAGAAAAAGCTTTTACTTACTCACTATAATATTGGGCTTCATTGGAAAAGAAAAATATGACTTTCTAAAGAATCTAGGGTAAAGATTGAAAATAAAGAAAATATGCTTTGTAATTCTATTATCAATCTTCCTTTCCTATAAATAATATAATCAACTTAAATTATCAAACAAAGGTTTTTTTGTTTAGTATGGTTTGATTGTATTCATTATTTAAAGTTCGTAACTATATTTTACATAAAAAAATATTCTTTATACAGATGAAAAAGCAATAAAATACATTTGAAAATAAAATAAATGAATATTTTTTAAACTGTAAATAAAACTTTTGTATGAATGTTATTGTTGTTGTTTTGACAAGGATGCATTGAGAAGTTTGACGATTATATCAAGTATTATAACTATATAGATATATTTATACTATGATAAAATAAATTATAGAGATTTCTTTTCTAGTATTGGAAACAAAGCTAAGCTGTTGAATCAAGTTTGATATCTTACTTTCTGTTCGAATATTTTCAATTATATATTGTATCTTTTTATGTTATCATCTAGTTTTTAATGAATTTATACGAAGATCTGTAAGCAATTATATCTATTGTTGGTTTTATTAATATTTTTATTAATTTTATTGATTATTTACATATAGAAACTACTATTTGAAGTTCTACTATACATTTTTACACTAGAAATTTTCATGATCGTTTTTTTTTCTACTCTTTTATCAATGAATTCATGGTATAGTTTCCAATCAAAAAAATATACTTATGATTCAGTATCTTCTATTAATCAATATTTGCTAATACTACAATATTAATATATTTTATAATAGCATTGTTTTATCTGCCTATCATTATTGTTGATTGCACATGATTATTTTATGAAAAATTTTGATACTTTCAAGATATACGTAAAGTTTAGAAACTATCAATGATTCGTTCATAAAAACATATCAATTGATCTTATTACTGTTTCTACGTTTACCATATTTAGAATTTTTGAGGAAAAATATTCTTGTATAAATATTATCAATGCGATGGTATGACTATCAAGAAACAATTGTAAAGATTTTCATAGTATTTGTTATTCTATATGGATTGTTAGTTTTAATTCATCAGATGTCTAGTCAAATATTGATATAAACATTCAATGATTTGTTTTTCTATTTATTCTATTTTATTGCAGACTTTCTTTCATTAATTTATTTAGCTAAAATGTCTAAACTGTATTTGTAATTAGTATTTTAAAGACATTCAGATCATATTACTCAAATTATACATTGAAGAGATTACTATTAAAGATATTTAGCATTAATAGACTTTGCTCTTCATGATTTATTATAATTAGAGATGTCATGGATCGGGACTACTGAAAAAAAAGGTCGCCAAGGTCAAGACAAAAATATGGTTCTGCAATATTTGTAATTGTAATAGGTAGATAAAATTATTTGTTAATAATGTCAATCTATTTTCATTTGATACAAATAAAATGATTGCATGTTTGTAATCTTTAATTTATTAGGAACAACAGCAAATATTATCTTTCAACAAATAACATAAGAATTATAATTGTCTAGTCGTATAATATTTATCATCTAGTATTAACTTGTCAATTGAACGAAAAGAAAAACTAGATTGTTTCTTTTAAGTCAATAACGAATCATAAACTGAGTAAATTTTATCTTTGATGTTGTAAAGTTTAGATAAAGACTACTTGATTTCCTGTGTGCATACATAAATTTTACAAAGTTCTCATGTTCTTAGAGTCGAACAACGAAAAACTCTACTAATAAGAAGTTACATATATATTTCTGGTTGAAATAACAACACACTCTTTATTTTGATAGATTTTCTTTTCTTAAATATTAAACTTTGACAAATAGATAGAATTGTTCAATTGTGTTTGTATTATTATAAGCTTTTCAGAAATGTTGTTCCAAAACATTTGTTTTAAAGTTTCTTTGTAAACAATCCCATCCGCTAAAGGATACTACCATTTTTCAAAACGTTTTTCGAATTCAATGAAACTTGGGCTGCTAGTAATACTAAATGAGGTACATTTACTAGATCTACGACATGTCCATGTCACTGCTGATATTGAGAACTATCCCAACAACTCTATTTTAGAAACTGATCTATATATCAGTTCTTTTTGAATGAATTGATACTGCCAGGTATCTTACTGTAACCTTCTCTATTAAATTTATAACTGTTTCATTCTGCGCTATGCTACTGAGCTACATAGATGTGCACGAATCAAGCTAACGGAAACTTAATGGTAGAATAGAATGCGACAATTCTAAAAAAAAGG